AATATAATTCAGAATGGATTAAAAATACACGTTTAGAGATGGAATAAAGATAACATATATTGAAAAAAAACTGTACACAGTAAGCCTTCTACGACCAAAGTTATAAAATCATACGACGAAGGTCATCTTTACAACTTGCAGTTTAGCTTTCGTATGTAATACAAGGAATATCTCTGCTAGTCGAGAATCTAAGGTATAAAAGGTGCTAAAGTACTGCAAATGAGCAATTCTACTCACGCATTGAGCCAGGAGATGGAGCTCGAAGCGGAAACTGTCTTTCAAAGTTCCCAGGATTGGAGAAAAAATCTCGTAACTTTGGGATCTCGATGCCACATTCTACCAGCTCAGTGTGTAGTTCTAGTGCAGTTAGATATAACTGGTGCTTGAGGAGAATTTCTGCGATGGGATCAATGTCTTTGGAGTCCAAAGGAAGAACTGGTTGTTTRACTTCTTCTTCTGGATCCGCCATCTTGTGACTGGTGGAGATGGACTCAGGCCCAGGGCTACACTGCACACAGGGAGCCCAACATCTATATGTGCATCAAGCGCTACTGCTGGGGTCGAAGAGTGGGATGTGATTGTAAAAATAGCACAGAACTCTTGATGCATGATATAAGACGCTTGAAGAAATATACCTATTTGGAAGAACGYTGTCGTTCCGACATCTGATCTCAACGATCTTAGACTGAAAAATGTTTTTGAACTTTTATGTTTTCTAGCTAAAATATGGAAAATCACATTTCAAACGTTCAAAGGCCATGCTTCATATGAAATCCTAAGAGGACTACGTTATTTGGCTGCGAATAATATATTACATTTTGGAGCGTGTTACTCTAGATTTCTGTCTCAAATTTCAGATCTCCGACCGACGTGTTTTGAAATAGGTGTGTGTAACCAGGTTTTGTTTTGTGCTTGTCTGTGTGTGGGTTTTTTTTCTCTACGAAGACAGACAGATCCCTTTAATKTGATTCGGTAAGAATTCGTTTTAGATGAGAAAACGTCGAAAATCAAAAATTGCCGGGTATTTAAGGAAGCTCTGGGTAGTTTTGGTCTGGCACACCTAGCCGCATTGAAACCGCTACAACTCCGTCTTGAATACCTCGATCTGCAAGCGCTTTTCACAAATGTCAGTGGTCGCAGTTTTGATCTGAGGATTGAAAGGAACCGCGAAGGCCTAAATGTGATTGGTTGATAAGAATGTAGTCATGGCAACGGTGATATCTTCACATGTGACGAATATGATATCTTCACTGAGTAGCTGTGTACGAGGTTTTAGACACCGGATAAATCCTGATATTTCATCGATATCTATATAATGACAGAAAATATTATGGAAATTGTGGGATATTCTATGGTATGCCATTCAAAACCATTACATATTTTTACACTTTTTTTTACTATTGCATATGCCTCTATACATCTCTTTTTCATATTTCTTTTTAGTTTCTCTTTTTCTTACTCCAGTTCTAGACATATCACTTCATTCTTTTTCTTCGGGCTCTCTTAACATGGTCCTATCACGTGACTTCTTTATTCTGTTCGTTTTTGTAATTACTTGTTTTTTCTTAGAAATGTTAAACAAACGTCAGTTCCACCATTGGCAAAACTTCATATTCTGGCGGCTTTTCTCCATCTTCTGCTGTTTCCTTCCTCATCTTTTGCTCAATCCTTAGAACCGCAGCACCTGCTCTCATTTGGTGAACAGATTCTTCAAATTCTTCAACGGCATCCACTCGAATTAAATATTCTGATCTTGCTGTCAAACAAACTCATCAGCTGGTCCAGTTGGTGTCCTTTTTTGAATTCTCTTTCATTCTCTTTGGCACGATTTTTTCCGAGGACTACCTTTCTTCAAACCGTAACGATTGTGAAACTCCCTTTGTAATGTGCTTCGTAAGTTGGGATGTCTATCTATGTTTACAAACGGGTTCAAAACCATCCAGGAAAGATGATTTATTTTCACTCCATGGTATCATCGACAAAGTTTCATGTTCTCGCGGTATTTCTCCACCTATCTGTCTCCGGAATTCTTCTTTATCCATCGAGCCGCAGCATTTGCCCTCCTTATGCGCTCAAATTCTTTAATGTTATCCATTTGTTATCCATTTTCTTTTCTCGCCCAATTTCTCTGATCGCTTTGGCAAGCTTCAAGGCTTTTAGCCCCGGTGGTACTTTGCGATCACCATCTGATGGATCGTCCTCATCTGTTCGACTGTCAGCATTTACATTGTAGGGATTCGGTATGACTGCACGTCCAGGCATTGCACCTTTAAAAACCGTTGGAGCAATAGCTCGATAACCTCTTCCACGTCCAGATGACTTGAAGGTTTTTTTTCTTTTCTGACATAAGAAAGATGGATGTTCGCAGGTAGCTCCTCTTCTGGATAATTCTCGATCACTAGCTTTTATTCCATTCCCGGGTGATTTGTTGTTGATTTCAGAATAACTTTGATCACAGGGGGTTGCTTTCAGACGAGAAGACTTGTCAACCTCATTGGGGATTTCAGGATCAACTTTCTTACCATCTGCATCCTCGTTATCTGTGTCAATGTCTATCGATTTAGTTTTATTAGCACCTTTTTCATTTTCTTTTGCATTTGCTATTTCAGGGTTATTGTTCTCATTCGTTTCCGTCTTTCCTGTATGTTCAATTTTAGGATGATCGTCATCATTTCCCAGATTTGCAAAGAAGGAGATTACATCTTGTTGTTGTTGGCTTTCAATTGATTGATCTTGCGTGTTGTATTTGGTAAACACTTTATTATCCTTCTCCTTCTTCTCCTCTTTCTTCTCCACCTTCTCCTTTCCCTCCTCCTTCTCCTCCCCCCGATCTTTCTCCTCCTCGTTTCCTTTCTCTTCTACTCGCTGCTCGTTTTTTTTTTTTGGTTATTAGCGTATTATTTTGTTCTTTGCTCTTTTTTAGCTCTTTTTCAGGCTCTTTTTTGTTGGCTTGGATGCGGTTTTCTCTCAGGTTTCGTACCTTGACTATATTTGCTTTCCTTTTTTTTGAAATCTTTCACGAAACTTGATTTATCAGCATCTTTACCCGGCGGTATCTTTGATGTTTCATGCTGTCGCAGTATTTCTCCAACTATCACTGTTCCGTTCTTATTTCCTTGCTCCATCCTTCGAGCCGCAGCATCTGCAGCTGCAGCCCTCCTTTTGCGCTCAAATTCTTCAATGTTATTCACTTGATCTGTCCTTCCTGTCGAGCCAAACCTCTGCTGGTTGGTGTTCGTTTTGTATTCTCTTTCTTTTTCTTCTTGAGGAGAAAGATAGAGCGCGTCTTCGTCTTTAAGATTACTTCCAAGGTCTGCGTCTTCCTTCGTCATCACGCTGTAACGATTGTGAAACTCCCTTCGAAATGCATCGTAAGTTGGGGTGTCTATGTTTACAAACCGGATGTCCTTCAGTTGGTTGTCACTTGGTGCTTTGGCGCTGAACATCTCTGCAGCAGCAAATATCATCTCTGCGCAAACGTGTTTTGGTACGCCGTATATACCAGAACTTATTCCRGGAAGGGCAATGGAACTAGAACGGATTTAAATGAATATCGTGAGTAATAAATAGTTGTCAAGATTTTGTTTTTGCGCATTATACCATCAGTTTCGTATTCAATAATATAATTTCGAATGTTTCTTWGACCATGGTGCTTTGATATAGAGGTTATTAGTGAACATTTAACGTCAGAAAAACGGTCGAAAACTAATATTAATTGTTTGTAATTACTGATTAAGCAATGATACTAACCTACAATAACACTGTAAACTAAGCTTTTTATTGATGTCTATAAATCATCGCATAAACGAAATGCACGTGGACAAAACTAATGCAAGATGCAAAGTAGCTGAAGTATGCCAACAGGTGCAAAGAGTATGGAACTTTCGTCCTAAACAATACTTACGAAATTTTGTACTCGCTTGCTTGTGCAAAACTGTTCATACATGCTTCGAAAATATAATGTCGACTACGTTCTTCACCATGAACTCTCCATTGTGGACCAACGGCATGGAAGATACGCTTGTAAGGAAGATTTCCTGGGCCAGTATGTGCAACCCGACCTACTGGAAAACGTCCATGTGTCCTAACTAATGCATCTGATTCCTGTTGGATTTGTCGACCACCTTGCTTTACTATGGCCCCTGCAACCCCCTCCATGATCAAGGCGCTCATTGGTTGAATTAACAATGACATCAACGTGTACTTTAGTAATATCACCTTGATGGACAGACACCACTACTCCATTGTCTAATGTTTTACTCAGAGGTAGCATGGCAGCTTGTACATAAGTGTCGGGCATCGGCATGTTTGGGATGCCCTTGTCTTTCACATATATAGGGGTAGTTCTGTCATCATTTACTACAAAAAACTTTTCCGTTATTTCTGCCATCTTCTTATCGGCGAATTGGAAAYCATTTTCTTGGAAATTCTGAAAACGAAAGGTGCATAGATATAATATAGATTGGTTATAGTTAGATGAGGAGGACGTTCCTSTCTACTAACCTATACTATGGATGAACCAATTGTACTATAAGTATTGCAAGGCAACGTACTTGGAACTAGAAATTTTTTTGAGAGGCATCCAAATAGATAGTGTAGTCTTTTGTTGTATTTCAACGTCATTTGCAAAAGATAAACCCATTTACATTTATTATAGTACACTCAACAAAATTACTCGACTCTGATTGGTCGAGAGGAGTACAATTATAGCGTTAATTGTACTCCGTAGGAGTACCGAATTAAGTCGCTATGGCAACACGGCCAAACCATGGCAAAACAATTATTTTCTATCATTTTGTACTTAAAAAACATATAAATAAAATTTTAAAGCCGTAAGAAGTTAAGACCTAAAGGCTCGTGCAATTACAAGAACTTTCAAAACATTACTCGTGTCTATTAATTTCCAAATTGTACTCGAGATCGTGCGATTTCCTATACAAACCGATGATGTTAAAAACTAGCTTTTCTAGGTGAMAAACAGATTGAAAGTAAATGGACAGTGTTACTGTAAAGTGGTCTAACGTTACTTTGAATGGATCTGTGATAKTTAGAATTAAAAATTAAAAATTTTAAAGAGTAAAGCTAAACGACCAAACAATCACTAACAAACAAACACATGGGGTCAGTTAATATCATTTTATAATACACTCAACAAAATTACTTGATACAGATTGGACAAGATGAGTACAATTAATTCCCAAATTGTACTRTATCGAGTTCCAATTAAGTTGCTCAATTTTGCTGACTGTTTTGTAAAAAAAAGTCGCACACTCTTCTCGTACAATTCGAATTTTTAGATACTCGTGATGTTTTGAAAGTTTTCTTATTGAACTCGCCTAAAGGCTCGCTCAATTTTGAAAACTTTCAAAGCATCACTCGTACCTATACCATTGTACACGAGATCGTGCGATTTCCTATACAAATAATATCATCGACACGCAATTTACCTTGAGGTCTAAAAAAACACGAGGTAATGTAAATGGTTCGTAGCATTCTTCCTCTTTAGTAGAACTGGGGTTAACCTCAACACTGTCACCATGCTTCCATTCATCATGAGCACCTAAGTTGTTCATAGTTTCTGTTTCTGTTTCTGTTTCTTCTGGTTCGTAGCATTCTTCCTCGTTAGTAGAACTGAGGTTATCCTCAACACTGTCACTGTCACTGTCACTGTCAGTTTCTGTTTCTGTTTCTGTTTCTTCTGGTTCGTAGCATTCTTCTTCTTTAGTAGAACTGGGGTTATCCTCAACACTGTCACCATGCTTCCATTCATCATCAGCACCTGATTTGTTCATAGCTTCTGTCTTGCCTACAACTTTAGCACGGTCTTCATTTCTACCCAGCAATACTACATCTATGTCAGAAGTTTTATCCACATCTTCTTCGGTACAATGATACAACATCGATATCCGCTTTCCACTATTCCCCTCCTCTTCTTCTCTTAAGGAATCCCCATCTAAATATTGTTCAATATTATCGATGGAAATTTCTGCTTCAGCTAAAACGTTTTTTGTTATAGTGTTATTTTTGAAAAAGTCTTCAATTTGTTCCTTAGCGTTGTCGATCTCTTGTTTAATACCAACCAACAATAATTTGCTCTCTGTTGGTTCTTCCGTAATTTTTAAAAGCATCGACTTTTGAATGGAGTCCTTCAATTCTCTCCATTTCTCAGAGTCCATTAGTTCTTTTTGAACGGTATTCAAAGGAATGCTTTCCTTTGTTGTTGCATCTTTCAGAATGAGGTTCACCGCCTCCTTCAAGTTATTCCGATCTACTGCCGTCACTACAAGATCCCCTTCGGTTAGGTTGCTATCTCGACTAACAACTGCGTAAATCTCATTGTTCTTTAGCATGGTAGAAAGAAATGCCATCCCACTCTTTGAAGCAAGAATGTCAACCATTGATTCATCAAGTCTCAATTCACTTTCTTTCATTGCTGCTAAAACTTGCCAGACTGCTAARTTACCTTCATTMACTACGTCTTCTTGTCCTCTCATTTGGATTGCATTGTCCCCAGAATTTATCATTATTTCAAGGTCCTTGTATTTTGATTTTAAATCTTCAACAAATCCACACAAACTCATCAACTCCATCTGTGCGTTGGAAAGTTCGATTTTCTGTGCAACTTTGCTTTTTTCCAACATAATTTGTTTCTCTACCTGAGAAACTGAGCTATGTAGCTGCTTCGATAGTGCACATACATGGGTTTTCTTTCCTCTAAACATAATCGAATCTTGCTTTTTACTGAAGTCAAATACATGGAAAATCTGAATTTGAGTTTTCAAAGCAGCGCATTTTTCTGTTACGTCCTCACTCATCTGTTCCCAAATTTCTTGAGAAATGGTTATCTTGTCTGTCACAAACTAATTGATGTAGGCTACAACAGCTTCACAGGACCTCTCCCATGTCTTCTTATCCATTTTAGGTTCAGCCCAAACAAGAACAATCTCCCCTGAACCTTCCTGCCATGTGTACTTCACTTGAGTTTCCTGCAGAAGCTGGTCAAATTCTGTATGGAACAATTCCTTGATAAACGGTATGGTTTGTGGATCGACTTGAACAATTTTTTCCCTCTTTTCACCTCTAGGGTGCTTAAACGATGTTTCACCAAGGAAAGGGTAGTAACACTTGATTTCTAGATGGACACCATCTATCATATGAGCTTGCTTCAATATGGCATCAGTAACTGAAAGTTAACACCATAGAACTTTTAGTCAAAACAAATCAACGAACATAATAAGACCCTTCCCTTTAAAGCCCCAGACTTTCCCCACTTCCATTAAGGAACACACTTTCCCTAAGTCAAACATAGCACGATGATTATTTTTACCTTTGTGGTCCTCAAAAGAAAGCAACACTCTCCCCTCGTCAATCATATCGATACGTTCCACATCTCCACCTCCATTTCGTTTATTTCTGAAGTAGTACAAAATCGTGTCTTGGGTTGTATTTACAGTAAATCCTGATATTTCAATGGTATCACATACTTTGACTTGCTCTATGTTAAAGAAGCAATCGTCCAAGGAACTTGTTTTGCATATCCTCTGTAGTTCAGGAAAATCTAATAATTGAAGATAATTACTTATTGATGATATGATATTATTTTTATTAAATTGAGGATATGATATTTTATAGGTTGAAGGGGAGGAACCGGAGAGTAGGTTCAAAAAATTCTTCCCCATCTAAAATTCGAGCACTGATATGCGAGAGGTATTCAAAGGAATATACCTAGGGAAAGCCAAAGTGTCGGTCAGAGTGGCGATCGGATCGGGGAGGGACAATGTGCTCGTACAAAGTCTGTTCACTCATGCGCACTAAAGCTCACTCCCTTCACCTCTTGTGGGTTAGCACACAGTGCAAGACAACGATGCCAATAATTATGCAAATATCCAGAGCACTCGACAAAATGCGGCGGAAATGATAGAATTTTGCTCACCTAATGGCTCAGTAAAACGAACCACACGACTGGAATTATCACCGAAAAGTATACTCTCAACTTCTTTTCCGCTCACTACCTCCAGGAACGATACGAGTCCGTCTCTTATTGTCCTATCGCTTATACCCATCACATGGAATCTTTTCTGGTCTTTTGGAAGTTCTTTTGGGATTGGCTTCAGAGTCGTGATAAGGCTAGCGCCATCAAGCTGTAAGCCTTCTTTCTTGACAACTCCTTCGGCATCTGTTAAGTATAATATTATAAAATAGCTCCATGTCTTGTATCGATGGTCTACAGCACAAGCAAAAACATCCAGTTCGTGCTATAGGTATTTGATGATTATAAATATATAATCTTTAAT